ACTCAGAAATGCAAAAAAGCATTACAGCCCACCTGCACATAGCACTAAAATTGTGGTCCTCATAGTGTTATGTGTTGTGGTGCAGGACACAACTGCACCCCAGTGTAAAGAGCTCAATAGGTTGCCAAGCTATCTGTATCCATACACAACTACCAGGGATGCTGGACTCTGTGGTGGTGGTGGGGATCCAAGGACAACACTTACCATGTTGTGGGGACACTGGGGGTGGGGGGATCATGTCAATGATAATTTTTGTGTTGCTTTTCTTCTTTTGTGCTTCTTGGGCACTCTCTTCCTTGCTGGAGGATGAAGATGTTTCCTCCACTGTCTTCCTGCACCTAGCATCTTTAAATGTTAAGGGACAGAAGAGTGCACTTAGCAAAGTTTTACTTGTGGGAGTTTTCTCCCTGCCCTGGAGTCCAAAAGCAAAAAGGTGTTAATTTACTTGCTGGTCTCCTTTCCCTCCAGGATGGTCTCCCTGCTGCGACCCACAGGTCACGCAGCTTCGCAAAAAATGGAGACTGGTTGACAGGCAACAGGTTCCCATGGAATGTCTCCATTGCCCTGAAAATGTAGCCTTCAGGGTTTTGAACTTGGTACGGCACTGTACAGCTGACCAAGCAAACCCTTGCTGGCCCAGGGACTGTGAGGCAACCTGCTAAAAATGGATGTTCCTCCCGTTTGAGGACCACACCAGCCTCCTGGCAGCTCTGCGCTGCTGGGCAATGCTGTCCAACGGGAGAGTGGTTTTCCTGGTCTGCCAGTATTCGATGGGGAAGGGAACCCGCCATGGCCATGCTGCCATGATTCCCAACTGACAGAGCATTCACCATTGCACCTTTATAAATTAGCAATTCAAATTTTAAAATTTTGAAATAAAGAATGTAGTCCAATGCGATGCCAGTGTCACCATTACAGACGGGTACATGGAAACATTGTAAAAAAAATTAAGCCTTGCCTCCATGCAGAAACAGAGGGATGCCAGAAGATTCTCATTGGGCAGGGAGCAGGTTGACAGTGGCCATGGTGGACCACCAGTCACATTCACATTTCTGTTTTCAGAAGGGAGTCTACAACAGCCAGCCAGGGATTACTTTAAAACC